TTGCCGCGAACACAGAGAGATGGCCGCAGCGTCGTGGATGTTAATAAGCGCGCCAAGATCAAGCCCGGGAATACTTAACACCACCTAAAAATACTTCACTGTACCTTAAGAAACGGGTCTCTGAAAGTTTCTTGCCCATAGCCTTCAAACTTGGTTGTAAACTATCTTATTCAATTTCGAACACTTTGAAATATTACATAAAAAGAGGTAAAGATGAACTAGACGCTCTCTTCTATCAGGGTGTTGTTTACAAAATATCTTGTGAGAATTGCGAAGCCAATTACGTTGGCCAAACTAAGAGGAAATTAAGAACTAGACTACAAGAGCATATGTCAGACATAAAGAAAAAATCAAGATCCTCCTCTGTAATTACCGACCATAGAACTATTAGCAACCATAATTTCGATTGGAACAATGTTAGAATTCTGAATAATGAACCATACAATAAACGATTAATGTCTGAAATGATTCAAATTAAGAGACAGAAACAGGGCTTAAACAGGTAGAATAATACGGAAGCATTACCTGATTCCTGTCTTCCCATTATACAATCTCTTTCTTCCTCTTAGTTCTTTCCTCTTCCTATTTTACTCTCTCCATACTATTGCTTCAGTTCGTTTCCTACAGGTCGTCATTTTTATTACACACTAGCTGACAAAAAAGAGTGGTCTTCATCGCAAATTTGCTTCAACTTGTATTTAAATATGTTATAATTTTACTTTTTGACTCATATCTTTATTTCTAACATTACAATTTCATTATTGGACTAAACATTGCGATTATTAAGGTACTTTCTCTTTTTCACAAATTACGTTTAAAAAAAAATTTTTATCTAGTTTAATTTTATTATATTCAACTTATCTATGGTATATTACCGAATTATGTTCTATACATGTATATTTTTTGAACTCTGTCTTATTTATATGTATAACCGAATTTATACATATTGTTCCGGAATTATCGTTACTTTCAAATATTCTCCGCGACGACCGTCAATAGCTCATCGACAAAACACGTATATATCTCGCTCTTATTCTAATCACATTGTCTTTCTCATATGGCACGCGCCTCCCTTGCGCGACACCCGAAAAACTGACTTTCGCGCATACGTTTCGCGTGCAAAAGATCAGTTCGCTTCCTGATCCACATCAATACGGATCAATACTATCTTTTACACTTCTCGACTGCAAGTCTGAGTCTTAACCGGAGCGAACCAAGCCGAATTACCGCATCGCGCATCTCCATTGCCGCTTCGCATAAGATTAGCGAGATAGACAAGCTGTAAAAGTTATTAAGTACGCGAAAATCATCTAAGTAGCTGACGAACATCTTCGGTCTCGTCACGGCGCGCCCTGTACATTCCGTTTGAGTTGAGATCAATTACGGGACGATGCTCCGAGTGTGTATTACCGGTGCACGTAGTTAAGCGCGTGCATCAATTGCTGTCATGAGATTTGCGCCTATAGCCCGCTTCGAACATTTCTATGACTTTAGTTAAAATAAACGTTAATTACTCAAACCAAGAGAATCGTCGTCATTACACGCCGCTTTGGCGCACGCACCTTCCATTACAAGGTGACACCAGCGCGTCACAAACACAAACAAATTTGGTCCTTCGAGCCGGATCCGTCGCCAAGGAAAGTTGTTTTTGTGCTTGATTCTCGAACGTTCTAAGTTGTGCCTTTTCATTGGAAATCATGTCATCTTTCGACGAACTGATGAGTCTACAGAACATGGAGATGGGTGTCGTCTCTCGCACACTTACTAACTTCAAGAAGCTGGGACAGGCCAAGATGACACGTGCCGTAACGCGACAACGCCTCGCAACCCTCAAGGAGACATACGCCAGATGCAAGGAGCTGGACTGCAGGTTAACGCTTGCTGCGGACGAGAAGATAACGACAATCCATGCGTACTTCACCCAGAACTACTTCCTGAAGTGTGAAGAATATTACCATGAAGCTTCCGACTACATGGCTGAGGTATTGGAATGTCACGAGGTCAGCAATCCCACTCCCGCTGCACATGACGTAAGTGACCTTAATCGTTCGTTCCGGTCATCGTCGCATCTTCCAAGGATCAACTTGCCTACCTTCGACGGGAATTTTGACATGTGGAAAAGCTTTCGCGATAAATTTAAATCAATGATCCATGACGATCAAAGTTTAACGAATGTCGAGCGCATGCATTATTTGTGTTCTTATGTAAAGGGGGATGCAAGTAACGCCTTAGATCACCTCGCGGTAACTAATGACAATTTCGGTATCGCGTGGAATATTCTCGTTTCTCGATACGACAATAAACGTCGGCTTATCACTACACATTTACAATCGCTCTTCAATTTACCGTCACTCGCGACGAAAACCTCCAAAGATCTTCGCACGCTCCGTGATCAAACCAATAAGGCAATACAAGCTTTAAGTAATCTCGGTCGCGCAACCGAGCATTGGGATGATTGGCTTGTTTTTCTCGTATCACGAAAACTCGACAAGTCATCGCGAAAAGCTTGGGAACTTAAACTCGGCGATACAGTAGAATACCCGCGTTATCGCGAACTTGAACAATTTCTTGCATCGCGTATTCGCGCTCTCGACGCGATTACACCCGCGAACGCATCGGAGAAGACAACGACGACCTCCAAAAAGAAAACTCTTGCGTTACACACCGCATCTACCGTTCCGTTCTCATGCGCATTATGCAAAGCGAACCATCTACTGTATCAATGCTCTACGTTCCTAAAGTAAACTCCATCCCAACGCTTTGAATTTATTAAAAATCAAAAACGCTGTGTCAATTGTTTCAGTGCGAAACATTCCGTGAAAGAGTGTACGAGTACTCGCGCGTGTCGACAGTGTAGCAAACGGCATCACACATTGCTGCATTTCGATCATTCCGCTCAACCAGTCGACGCTAAGTCACCGTCGACGTCCACACCCACGAGTAGCGAGAGCGTCACCGCCGTAGCTACACATTTATTGTCGAAAACCGTAGCACCGAGCTCCAAAATCTTACTCGCGACAGCGCGCGTGCGAGTTTATTCGCCTCATAAACGTTTCGTCACCGTTCGCGCGCTCCTTGATCAGGGATCCGTCTCTACGTTCGTCTCTGAATCGCTTGCTCAACGCTTATGCCTTGCAAGAATTAATCGCTCCGTCTCACTTACCGGCATTAGCGAAATGCGATCTATCGTGCGTCACGCGGCCCAAATTACGATTACTCCGGCGTGTCGCGACGGACCTGCCTATATCACGACCGCATTAATACTTCGGTCATTAACGAAATATTTACCGAATCGAGTCGATACCGCGCACAATTGGAAACACGTCGCGGGACTCGAACTTGCCGATCGTGACCCCATGAGTTCGGATCCAATCGACATCATTATCGGTGCCGATCTGTTCGGCATGCTAGTTCTCGATGGTATCCGAAAAGGCTCAGAACATGAGCCTATTGCGCAAAATACCACTCTAGGCTGGATTCTGTCCGGGCCAATAGCCTCGTCACCGAATACTGGCTCAGTTTCCGCTCTTGCGCATCATGGAGTCGTCATCGAGACTCTCGATTGCGATCTTCGTCGCTTCTGGGAAATTGAGGAAGTGCCTCAGAAAGCTGCTCGAAGCCCTGAGGATCACCAGTGCGAAGAGCACTTCAAAGCCACGCATTCTCGTACGCCGGAAGGACGGTATATCGTTTGATTACCGTTTAAGAACGGGCCACCAATCTCGATAGGCGAATCGCGCTCTATTGCCGTTTCAAGCTTTCACCGCTTGGAACAACGTTTAAATCGAAACCCAATTATCGCTTCCGAGTACCGCGAATTTCTCGCCGAGTACGAAACCCTCGGTCGTATGACCAAAAGACCACCAACAGAAATTATCAAACCAGAGCAAGCATATTACATTCCGCATCACGCTGTATTACGCGATAGCAGTACGACCACCCGCTTACGAGTAGTCTTCAACGCGTCGTGCCGCACGTCAAACGGAACGTCATTGAATGACCATATGCTCATAGGCCCTAAGCTTCAACGGGATTTGGCCACGGTCGTAATGCAGTGGCGCCAATATCGTTACGTGTTTACCGCCGATATCGCCAAAATGTATCGGCAAATCTTAGTTAACCCCCAAGATACCGACTACCAGCGCATTGTTTGGCAACCTACTCCTGACGAACCAATCTCAGATTACCGCCTTCTCACCGTCACCTACGGTACTGCCGCCGCTCCATATTTAGCTCTTCGGGTTTTAGATCAGCTCGTCGAAGATGACGGTGCTGACTTTCCACTAGCTGTTCCCGTTTTACGTCATCAGACGTATGTTGATGATTGCGCTTTCGGCGCAAACCAGATTCTCGCTCGTCAAACCCGCGATCAATTAGTCGAATTGTTAAAGAAAGGAGGCTTTCGCCTTCGAAAATGGGCGAGCAACGCCTCCGCTTTATTGTCTGATCTCGATCCCGCGGATCACGGATTAGTTACTCACAAGGTTCTTCAAGACGACGACCACCTCAAAGTCTTAGGAATCCTCTGGAATCCGAAGCTAGACATTTTTCAATTCCGCGTTACCGTGCCGGCTTCACCCGGCCGAACCAAACGAGCCATTCTTTCGACTATTGCGAAGTTTTTCGATCCTTTAGGATGGGCGACTCCCGTCATTATTACCGCAAAAGTTTTTATGCAGCGATTGTGGTCACTTAAATGCTATTGGGATGACGAAATTCCCAGCCAACATTTCGATTACTGGTTAGACTATCATAACCGACTTCCGTGTCTCAACGACATTAGCATTCCTCGCTGGACGACTTACGGATCTCACACGCTAAAGTGCGCCCTTCATGGATTTTCCGACGCTTCGACTGCAGCTTTCGCGGCTGCAGTGTATCTTCGTACCGTCAATGTCGACGGCTCAATTACTGTCTCGCTTCTCGTCGCCAAATCGAAAGTGGCCCCGCTTAAAACGACAAGCGTCCCGCGCTTGGAATTATCCGCCGCTGTGCTTCTCGCGCATATAATGCATTTCGCACGCTCAGCGCTTCAACTCCCCGAGCTCGAGTGCCACTGCTGGACGGACTCTACCATCACACTCGCATGGCTGAGTCAATCACCTGCCCGATGGAAAACTTTTGTCGCCAATCGAGTTTCGGCTGTGCAGTCACTCCTCCCAGGAGTTTCTTGGCGTCATGTTCCCACGCTCACCAATCCAGCGGACTGCGCCTCGCGCGGCCTCGCTCCCAATTGTCTCGAAACGCATGCCTTATGGTGGTCAGGCCCTCCATGGCTACACCACCCTCCCGAATCCTGGCCGAACTCGTGCCCGTTGTTACCCGCCGAGATTCCTCTCGAACAACGCCCGGAGCCTCCGGGATGTGCATCGCATACGACGCCCGATTGGGATCTCGCGTCGCGTTATTCGTCGTGGCCAAAATTACTACGAATTACCGCTTACCTATACCGGTGTCTAAATCGAGTTCGACGCGCAAAAAACCCGCAATCGGATACCGCAATTTTGATCTCCGAAGAAATTCAGACCGCCAAACGTTACTGGCTCAAAATTATGCAGTCAGACTTATTTTCTAACGAAATCGTTGCTCTGAATCAAAAACGCGCGGTGTCGAAAAGCAGCCCGCTATCTATTCTCAATCCTTATATGGACGAGGACGGACTCATTCGAATTCGAGGAAGACTCCGTCGAGCTTACCTCCCAGGAGCAACGAAGAATCCAATCGTATTACACGCGCATCCGCTGTTGGTACTCATTATCCAGCATCATCATCTGAGAACGTTGCATGCCGGTTCGCAATTAACGCTCGCGTCATTGGGAAACGAATTTTGGATTCTCCGAGCTCGCGCCACCGTTCGATCCGTTCTTTACAAATGCCTACAATGTACGCGTGAACGCGCCGCCGTGCCCGTCGAACTCATGGGTGACCTCCCGGCTGTGAGAGTCAACCGCACCGTTCGCGCCTTTATTCATACCGGCGTCGATTATGCAGGTCCGATCGCTGTCCGCACGGCGCCCGGTCGAGGTCATAAGTCGCAAAAGGCGTATATCGCGTTATTCGTATGCCTCACAACTAAAGCTCTGCATTTAGAGCTTGTAAGCGATTATACCTCTTCTACTTTTATCGCAGCGTATCAACGCTTCGTTTCTCGCCGAGGATTACCGACGTCCATGTATTCGGACAACGGAACCACATTTCACGGCGCCGATCGCGAACTTTCGAGCGCACATGCCGCTGCCATACGCAATCCCAATTTCCGCAGCCGACTCGCTTCCGACGGAACTGCGTGGCACTTCCTACCTCCCGCTTCGCCGCACTTCGGTGGTCTGTGGGAAGCCGGCGTTAAAAGTGTTAAGCATCATTTAAAACGATGCATCGGCCTCCACACGCTAACTTTCGAGGAGATGTCTACGCTCCTATGTCGAATTGAAGCGTGCCTTAATTCACGTCCGATCGCGCCCGTTTCCGATAATCTTGACGATTATCACGCTCTAACTCCCGGTCATTTTTTGATCGGAACCCCTCTTATCGCTCCCGCCGAACCGAGCGTGCTTGACTTAAGCGAAAACCGACTTTCGCGTTGGCAAATGGTTCAACAAATAACCGAAGGTTTTTGGAGGTCTTGGTCCGGTGATTACTTGCATACTCTCCAACAACGTCCAAAATGGCGCGTTGTCCAGCGACTGGCCAAAGTTGGTCAAATCGTCCTAGTGCGTAACCCTCTGGCTCCACCGAGTCAATGGGAACTTGGCCGAATTACGGCGTGTCATCCAGGCGATGACAATCTAACTCGCGTCGTAACGGTAAAGACAAGTCATTCCGTATACAAGCGACCGATTGCGAAACTCTGTTTTCTACCTGTCACCATCAATAGCGAAGAATCAAAGAATTCCGTCACGGCGGGCGGAGTTTCCGTGTGAAATATTTGATGTTACCGGTATCGTGAACTTTAAGTTTAATTGTATTGCGTCACGATTTTTGCATTTTTTATGTAAAACCTTTTTCGTTATTATACCCTGATTGTATCCTGCGTGCTTTAATGCAAATCATTTCGAATGTTAAGGCGGGCGGTATGTTCCGGAATTATCGTTACTTTCAAATATTCTCCGCGACGACCGTCAATAGCTCATCGACAAAACGCGTATATATCTCGCTCTTATTCTAATCACGCTGTCTTTCTCAT